CTTAATGTAGAGCGCCACACCCCCGCCTTTCCTCCCTGTTGCAGACAAGTTGGCAAGTGTCCAGCAGAGGACAGCAAATGTTTAGTGATCTGGAACATATGTCTTCTGAAGAGAGGCTGAAGAAACTGGGCTTATTTAGTCTGCCAAAGAAGACTGAGGGGGGATTTGATAGCAGCCTTCAACTACCTGAAGGGTGGTTCCAAAGAGGATGCAGCTAGATTGTTCTTAGTGGTGACAGGCAATAGAACAAGGAGCACTGGTGTCAAGTCACAGGAAAGGAGGTTTAGGTTGGATATTAGGAAAAAAAAAATTCCTTAGGAGGGTGATGAAGCACTAGAATGGGTTACCTAGAGAGGTGGTGGAATCTCCATCCTTAGAGATATTTAAGGCCTAGCTCAGCAAAGCCCTGGTTGGAATGATCTGGTTGAGGATGGTCCTGCTGTGACCAGGGAGTTGGACTAGATGGCCCCCTGAGGTCCCTTCCAACCCTAGTTTTCTATGATCCAATGGTTGTATGATTCTCCTATGCTGAACTAGGTAAGGCGATCCTCAGTTTTAATTTATATGATGAAAAAAAGTGACCAAAAATTCCATATATCAAAAGTGCTGTTCTCTTCCAAGCACTTCTGCATAACGTTGCTCAACCTTTTCTTGCTGTCTGAGAGCTTACTTGGCAGTCTCTATACCTCCTTTCCAGGTTCTAGGGTTTGGGGGCTTTTTTTTGATATACTTAGCTACACACAGTTGGTTTCTCTATACCTTTACATATTCCCATTCTGGAGGTGATACTGGTTATTGTATTAATCGACTTTCCTTTTAATATCTTGATCTTTGTCATCTTTACATCTCTTTTTGTTTATGTTCATGGAAGTAATTTACAGACTTTTTCTGTATCTCAGTTTTTACCATATTTTGCTTACAACATATTTAACTTATTGGCAGATAGTCCCTCTGTTAGTGCTGGCACTACAGATACATTCTGACAAATATTCCTAGTTGATAGGTAAAACTACTGGCTTATTATCAATAATCTACATTTTGCTACTATGGAAGCAGCCATTCAAAGCAATGTGAAGAGCATGTGGTAACTGTTTCCTGCACTATGCAACTTGGAGAGGGTGAAGGGTTTGAACCCGGAATCGGTAGGCTTTTCAAACGAAACAAAAACAAAATGAGAGAAAAGCATGTACGTGTGGAGCGTCTACTTGGAAGTGAGTTGTGTTCTAATCTGTCAATTCAGAAAATATAGTCCAAAGAAAAACTGCCTGGCAAATAATGTCACGTGGTATCAGCTCTCTTAAGTTTCATATGCAACGGTATTATAATTTTCCAGGGGAGAGTATCCCAAACCTATTTTATTTTAGCTGTTCCTTCAGAATTTGTGATTACCTGCCTTCTAGAGATCTCTGAAATGGAATAGACGTTAGACACAATTTTTCAGACAAATAAATAACTTATTGTCATGTTGGCTCTTGTTCTTTGAACGTGAGGAGGAGGGGACTGTGGAGTAGGAATATTCATGTATAAAGTGGTTATTTAAAGAACTGCAAGGTTCTGGGAAGATACGTTTTATTACTCGCATTACGTGACATCCAGAAAGCCGCTTAATAGGATCCTGCTTATAAGTGTGAAAAGGGAAAAGATTGATTTCTTATTGCCAAAATGGCTTTTTTCCACCATGCTTTGAAATTTCCTACAACAATTGCAAAACCGTAAACCTGATAAGAGAAGAAAGAGGAAAGGGATTTCAGAGGTGAATATGAAGCATCTCTGCAACAGGCCTTGGATACCTTTTTATATCACCAGTTGGAAACTAATATAAAGTGTGTGTTGATCCCTTGAGCGTATTGACCCATGCAAATCAGTTGTAACTTGCTGAAAATGTGTGTATTCCCAGCCTAAGAGAATGCTTACCCCTGGTTTGAAGCCAAGCTCTATTGAGCCAAGAACTCTCTTCCATCTCTTTCAGTGGGAGACTAAATTAAGTGTTAGCACATTCCTTTTTTTCAGCATTAGTATCTGGATTCTAATATTGCCTCTGTTGTACCCATAAGCTGCTCCTTCAGTAATTGAAAACAATAGGATTCCTGTTTACCTTGTTTAGAGTGGTATTATTGTATAATCTTCCCTTTTAGCATAAATGGAAGGTGTTGTACATCACATAGATTAAATAATTCAGTAATTATTTCCCTCTTTCCTGACCATTGAAAATGAAACATGGTACCAAGGCAACATGCAGCTTTCTGGTTGACTGACTAAATATATTTATGCTTTTTCACAGGTCATCCCCTTGGATTGCACACTGCGAGTAGCAAGTGGGATGCCGGAAATCCTGCCAGCAACCTCTCCACTGTAGCAATCATGCCAGTGTCTGAAGAGGTACCGCTTACTGCCTTTACTTTGGAGCTCAAGCATGCTGTCAGTGCTGTTGGTAAGAACTTCTTCGTATGCTTCTATATTAGCAAATCTCCTTATGATTTAAGAAAGCATCAGAGACTGTATGTGAGATGGTGAAAGTTACTGCTTGCTGTAGAAGGGGAACATATTCTAGTGCACAAAATCAGATATCTTGATTGAAAAAATGTTAGGAAAATCTTTCCCATACTTTTAAAAACGGTGACTTTTTTTTTTGTTGTTGCTCCCTTTCTCTCACACATTGCATACAAATGGACAAACTCTATGATACAGTATAAGTTCTGTGATTCTTCAGGAC